TAAAATTGTATAAACAAATTTATAGAACTATGAGTAATATAAAAATATTTTGCATAGATCCAGTTATTCAGGACAAAAATGACCTGAACTTAGATTTACATCGCCCATAAATATAATCTGGTGTAGATTTTTAATAAATGATATTTTATATACTAAGCTGTCCATGTAAGTATACAAATATTTGGAATACATAAAGAAACAAACAATGAAATATAACAAAATTATTGGTTTTTTCATATTAACAATTTAGCTTTATTATCCACGTCTTTCAAATTTCTATTAATATTTTTTATAGAAAAATATATTCTAACCCTAAAATATAATTTGGTAACAAATATAATAGGAAACTGATTACAGGGATGATCTAACTTTATGTGTGCGTTTAACTGTAAAAGTTTTTTTTTTAAATATCATTAGATACAGCCAGTTTTTCAAAATTATGGTCGAAAAATTTTTTCAGTTGTTCAATAAATATAATCTCGTTTGGCATGGTTAAACTACCATACAAACTGGAATTGGTATCATAAGCTTTTAATAAACAAAAAATAGCCGAGTCATCTAAATGATCCAATTAATTCATTGGCATAGTGCTTGCATATTGAGCAAGTGTGTTTAGCCAGACACTTTTTAATTAGATAGCCACACACTTTTTAATTAGATAACCACACACATACTTTCAATATTTTTTTTCTAATAAATCACTATCCCTGTAATCAGTGTCTATATTGTCATTTTCTGGTGCAGGTAGACGCTTCCGGAGTTTTGATATCTTTAATATCGTTTAATTTGAACAACATAGTTTCTGTATCTCCTCCTTCACAATTCTCTGTACCAGAGTGAAATAATTTAACACATAATAATTTTTTAAAACTTCTATGAAATTGTACAGCGGTTGGATTATTGCAATTTCCATTCTGTTGCCTAATAGTTCCAAAAAGTTTTCTATGCAATCTTGATTTAATCGTCTGGTAAAAATAAATTTAAAATGATTTGTAAAAGAAAATTCCCATAAATGTTTCAACACATTAATAGTTATACCCAAACAAGTTAGGAATCTTACCTTGTTATTTTTAAATTATTAAAATATAATTCACAATTGTTTAAAAAATTAATTTGATTTTGTAAACCCTCAAAGGCTGTATGAAATTGCTTTGTTGAATACAAAGTTGAAGAATTTAAAATGTCAAATAGTTTATCAACTAAATCTACAAATTCGGCTGTAGCTAACCCAGTTGCAGGGATAGCTCCAAATCGTAAAAAGAGTCTTAATCCTGTAGCTACAGTATGGCTAAAAACTTGGAAGGCGTACTTTACTTTCATTTTCTCAAAATTGTTGGGATGAATATGAGATTTGGTCAGTTTTGGGGCAGCCCTTACCGGATAGTTCTTATCGTGCTCATAAAAATCCTTAATGTATTTCCAACAAATTTCCTGTCCATCAGGTTGAACAAAGTTGTGATTTAACAAATTATTTCTTACTGCTTTTATAATATGCGGAGTGTCAAACATATAAATTATCTTTTGTTTATTTATAAAAAATAGGGTTGTTGTGGCATTACTTTTAATTGGTTTTTTAATTTAATGTTATTCGAACCTAAATCTGATATAAAAACACTTACAATTAAACCAATATCTTTAAGTTTTTCTATTAAATATGAAATAATATCATACATAAGTTAATGGTAGCACCCATTTATTTTTATGCCCCGAATAACAAATACTGAAGCACTTTTAGCAGGCCGAAACTTTCTCGACCCTAGACCGTCATCCTCCATCACAATAATTAAGTCGTTGGCCACGGAATACAATAAATTTGACTTAATATTCATTTCGTCCACACATAAAACACAAAACCTATCTGATTCTGAAAAATTAACAACTCTTTTCTTTAGCATTTCAAATAATGCTACATTTTTTGGACCAAGTTCTACTTTTAAAATGGGAACTTTGGTTGAGGTAAAATAGGATAAAAAAATTAATATTAAAAATGGTGAAAAATTTTTTAATATAAAAAGTAGGTAAATCAAAAGTAATTTGTGTAATGTAATAAGAACAAATTTTGAAATGTCAGTTGCGACATAAATCGCAAACAAAGAAATCTTCATTATCTTCGACTCCTGCACAGGTATCATGTGCCCAATTTTTACAACTAACACATTGTATCCATTCTTCGCCACGTCCATCTTTTGAATACCTGTTGTAGTAAAAACATTCCGCATCATCATCGCTTTCTGATGATTCAATGCTTTTTTTTATTTTTTTCGTTTTGATTAAAGGTTTTTTAGATTTTTCTTCATTCAGTAAGTTGATGTTTGTTTTTAAAGCTATCTTTTTAACATTAGCTTTTTTATATCTTTCCTTTAAAGAGTTTTCCATTTCTTCCTTATAAGGGGTGCTCGTAAGAATGGCAACTTTTCCTTTTTTCTATTTGTTGTTTTTCGAATATCAAGCTTACGAGCTTTGGGATAAGGAGCAATTTGTTCAGGACTTATCAAAGTTATACCTTTGCTCGTGGATGGTATATCATGTAAAGCACTTCGTTTGGCAACCTCGGAACATTTCTTTGGAAGAGCCATTATTTGTTTAGGTAGAGATTCTCTATTAGGGTCATTTTCGGGTGTAGCTTCTCTATTAGTTTCAATTTCGCGTGTACCTTCGAAATTAGCGTTATGTTCGGGTGGAGCATCTTTGGAATCGGAAGAAGATGGTACGATATCATCCTGTTCTTGTGGTTTGTCTGTTGAAAGTGTTGCAATAAACATATCCTCGGTAAATACAGTGCGGTTTACTGAGTACAGTCCACTTTTTTCAAATCCATTAATAGCATTTTTCGGAGTAGAAGCACGAAGATATGCTCTGCCAAATAAAGAAGGAACTTCGCTTACAGTGATGCATCACCCTGGGTGACTTCTAAGCCAAATCTCCATTTCTTGTGAATAAAAGGTGCTTAGAGGGGCCATAAATGACACGCCAGAAGGCTGGAGTCGATGACTACAGTGTGGTGGGAGACATAAAATTGTGACACCATTTTCTCTTGCTTTATCTATGAAAGAAATATTTTGCGTATGTGTTTTATGACCATCGAAAATAAGTAATGCTGGATTACTGCTTGAAGCTTGTATGTGAGAGAGAAAATGATTAAAGCATTTATCAAATAGATCCAATTGCATCCAACCAGATTTATGAGCAACTGTTAATGTTCTTGGAGGAACACCCTCAAGAAACTGTGACTTCATACGAACTCTAGGAATGATTAACATAGGCGGGACAAATATTTATTTTTCCAGTTACTTTTCCTAAAAGTATATATATTTCATAGCATCGACTACCTGTTATTTGATATTTTTTAAGTTTTTTCCAATGTCCTGAACCTTGAAGAATATTTATGGCTATTTCTATGTCATCATTATGCAAATTAGCTAATAATTATGCACAACAAGGTCTTTGGGTCAGGTACGTTAACTGATACTAAGTTCAGCATAAGAGGTGACTGATACGAGTTATTTAAAATTTCTGTCACAAAATTTCGGCAAATATTTATTTGTGGATTGACATGTGGATCTATTTTTGGTATTTCTCGTCGCTCTTTCCTAATAGATGAAGTAATTATAATGTAGTCTACTTTTACAAAATACACATTAACATTTTAACGGCCAAGGCGATCCCAGAGGACCACTACCCTCACTTCTGGGCCTCGGTGGTCTCTAGGGACCGCTGATAGATTTTCGCTATGCCGTGCTCTCCAGGCCAGTGGACCGCACGTTTAATGTGTTTCTAGGCATACATGGGACCGCTCGGCCCTGTTCTATAATAGGGACATAAGAATTTTTCGATTTTTGTCTTTATTATTAGCAAAATAAAACAAAGTATAACTTTGCAAACATATATTTTTCAAATCTTTTTAACGGCTGTTCGACACAATCTGGGCAAAATGTGTTGAATTTTTTACTTTATTTTTGTGAATTTCACCTTTGGTTTTTTCTTATAACAGCCAACGCAGTATCTTCTAACTTTATGAACAGGTCCTTCCTTTTTTGTTCAAAGAATACTCGGATTTTCGCTTGCGTCTATTCGACAAATCAGTTGAGGATGAATTATTATCAGCGTCGCTGGTTAAATCTTCATGTGCTTGAAAACAGACTCGCGAAGATCAGTTATTGACATTGAAGAGTCACTAACAATTTTAAAAATATAATGTGCATTTACTATACTGGTACCAAAAAGCACTTCTATGGCCAGCTTTCTGTACCACTTGATTGTTTATCGCAATGAGGAATTATAAAGGTCGATTCTCACATAGCCGTGACGTGATAGTGCCGTGACCGGCACGTAATTTTACCAACCGTAAACTCTCAGTGATTTTTATTCACACTGGTCAGTATTTCATCAGTGCTGTGGCAGTGCAGTTTATAGCCAAATGGAAATATTTTCAGACGAAGAACTGTTGCAGATCGCACTGGTTTTGGACAAAGAAATCGAAGAACAAGTAGAAGAACAGGTAGCAAGAAGACACTGGGTCCATCCAGTATGGAAAAAGAGAGGTACCGAAGGAGAATTTATAACATTATACAAGGAACTAGTAGACGATGATCAAAATTTTTTGAATACTTTAGGATGTAAGAAAATTCGTTCAACCTATTGTTGTGCAAGATAGAAGTTCATTTGAAAAAGCGTGACACATACTGGAGAAAAGCAATTACAGCAAGAGAAAGGCTCGCTATTTGTTTAAGGTATTTGTTTTCAATCTGATGTAGATACCTTGATATTTATTAAAAACACTCAAAAAATAAAAACTATTTTATTAGAAAAATGTTGTACAAACAAATCGAAAAAAGTACTTAAATTTCAAACTCATTTTTGCTTGAATATTTCTAAGGCAGGGTTTGGAAATATTACCTCAATGTTAAGTGGGCTGCTTCATTCTCCTCACTTTGACTAGTAGATGACTGTTGGCCATCCCATGAAGAGGTTGATTGTTGGCCATCCCCAGTCGAACACGTTTAATTAGGAGCTGTGCAAGGAAATTGTTGTTGTCTGTTCAACATATTAAATTCGAATTTTTGGACAGTAGCAAATATTTCAGTTTTGGCGAAATGCCACTCTTGTGCGGATAATTTTTTTAAAGCTGGAGCTATCCCTGCTAAGAAAGCTTCAACAAGGTGCTGCGTTGGTGGTGGGCAGTTAATACTTTTATTTCGGTTAACAATATACTCCATAACTGTAGCAGCAGCTGTTTTGGTGGGAGCAGTAGGCTTTGTTGGTATTGACAGCTTTCTAGTTTTTCGTGGAATAGTGCCTGTTGCTGTTGATATCATTGAACTTTGATTTTCTGATTGTGTCGTCATGGTATTATCGTTAACTTCTGAAACTGTACAGTCTTGATCTTGAATATTTTGGTCATTTTCGGATACTTTTTCAGTTTCTGTTTCACCTGTGAAATCTTCAGTTTACTTCGCCCTCAATGTTCGTCGTGGACTCCCTCTGCTCTAAGAATTTCTTCTGCGCTGAATATTTGTAAGGCTTCACTTTTGTTGCTTTTTGACCACTTTTAGTTTTTTGTTTATTCAAAGATTTTCTGAAGTTGGCCCACCGAGTTATGCATAAAGACCCTTAAAAAAGAAGAATTATAGGCTTTTTCTTGTCATAAACAAAACAAAAACATAACAAAATAATCGAGTACATTTTTTTATCTCTTCTGTATTTTTTTCAGATATTTGGCCATTGGAGATGCGTTCAGCTATTGTAAAGGACATAGTACAGTTCACAAAATTGTACGAGAAACCCATCTTATGAACGAACTGATACCTACTCCGACACAGGAAATGTGGATGAAAATCGCTACTGAGTTTTATAAAATGTGGAATTTCCCTAACTGTATAAATGTCAATACTATATGTATTATTTTTGTGGCAAAAGCATCCCAGTACATTCATATGGATTTTGAACCGTAACAACTTCTTCGCAGAACTCTATATTAAACTGAAAATCGTCACGCATTTTTGGCTAAAATCGAAAAACAACACTAAATTCGTATGGAATATGTCGCTCGTGTAGGCTTCTCATTGCATCGAAGTGGCTGACGGTGGCGGGAGTAATTATACCAGATCCATATCACCTCTATGTGAATTGCCTCATAGGCTAACGTGCGGGTGACATATGCCCGTACCACGCCACCACCACGCGCCCGTTCTGTGTGAATTGCACCTTACGCGGACATTTCATCGCCGATCTAGTTTATCGTAGGCCGTTTCATCGCCAGCCGTTTTATTGCCGAGCCATTTCATCGCCAGCCATTTTATTGCCGAGCCATTTCATCGCCAGCCATTTTATTGCCGGGAATATCATCGCGGTTAAGTTATATACAGTGTGGAAAAGCCAAATGGAATAAATTCATTATTTCGATTACTGTACATATAGAAAATCCCGAAATACGTCAAATTTAAATTATAAATTGACATTCTTTAAAGTGAAAATGTGATCCCTACCTTCAACCCCCTTTGAGTAACAGTTACAACCCCTAATTTTTTAAATGGGAAGTATAGACTTGTGATATATCGTTTGAAAGGTCTCTTCATTCTCTATCCAAAAATGTTATTGTTTTTAAATTTATTGCAAAAATTAACATAAAAAAAAATAAAATAACTGATAACCGAAATTTGTTACAATACACTCAATATGTAATATTTAATTGTTCATAACGTACAAAATATGAATGTCAATGAAGTAGATTTTTTTTTTGAAATTTTTCAAAATTAAATGGATTTTCATCAAGTAAAGGCCGAAACAATAAATAATGAAGTAGATGTTTAAAATGCTCACCGCGAACGTCTTGGCAACATCCTAATCTTGAATAAAAATGTCTTCTAACGTTAATTAACTTATCAGGCGTGACCGATCTAATCGCAAGCATTATTCGTTCTCTTAAGTCATCTAAATCACGTGGTTTAGTTTTGTAAACAATATTTTTCACATAGCCCCATAAAAAAAGTCTAATGGGGTAAGATCAGGTGGCCATTCTATTGATCCTCGCCTCCCTATCCAGCGATTTGGAAATGTTAAGTTGAGGTACTGGCAGACATTGATTTGGTAATGTGGAGGTCCTCCATCTTGCTGGAACTTGAGGGTTTCCTGGATCAGGAAATAAATTTGCCAAACTTGGCACCACATCATTTTGTAGTAGTGCTAAATAATTATCGCCATTCAAATTCCCCTCAATGAAAAAGTGACCAATAATATGGTTTTCAACAATCCCTGCCCAAACATTAACCTTTTGAGGGTATTATGTATGGACCTCTCTCATCCAGTGAGAATTTTCCGTTGACTAGTAGCGGCAATTTTGACAATTAGCATGACCGTTAACGGAAAAAGTGCACTCATTAGAAAACAACGTTTTCTAATTGGATGGTATTGTTATTCAACATTTCCATCATTTGTTCGCAAACATTTGTTCTCCTATCAAAATCGTCTTCCATGAGTTTCTGAGTCGCTATCATTTTATAGGGATGCATTTTATTTTCATTTAATATGTTTAGTATCGATGTATGGCTGACATTAAATGTTGCAGATGCTTGTCTACTCGATGTATGTGGGTTTTCCTCAAACTCAAGCATCATATCTAATTTGATATCATCACTCAGTGCATTGGCAGCTGTTTTTTTCATCTGCTTTACATGTCCAAATTCGCGAAATTGCTTCTCTATTTTACTAATTGTACCTTGGGATATAGGCGGTAAATTCGGAAATTTTTCATGAAATAGGCGAGCAACTTCCATTTGTGTTCGGGTGTTATCTCCGTAACCAATCGTCTGTAAAACTGTTATTTTATGCATTTCTGTTAATCTAACCATTTTTATGAAATTCAAACGACAATTATAATATTGACAATATCCTGCAGTTATAATTATTACAAACCAATTTGCTAAGGCGTTTTAAACAAACTGACATTGCTATGATAGTTTTTTAAAGGATTTTTTAAATGGTTAATAAAAAAGAACACTGACATGGCTTTTGCTTAGGTACTGTCTTATTATAAAGACTGAAACGGGAAATAGTAGTGTAGGTACTCTAGAGAATTTCGGTAATAAGATGATTTTATTTTTTTTATGTTAATTTTTGCAATAAATTTAAAAACAATAACATTTTTGGATAGAGAATGAAGAGACCTTTCAAACGATATATCACAAGCCTATACTTCCCATTTAAAAAATTAGGGGTTGTAACTGTTACTCAAAGGGGGTTGAAGGTAGGGATCACATTTTCACTTCAACGAATGTCAATTTATAACTTAAATTTGACGTGTGTCGGGATTTTCTATAAATATGTACAGTAATCGAAATAATGAATTTATTCCATTTGGCTTTTCCACACTGTATACAGAATTTACATACACATTAATGATTTATATTTTTAAAGAAAGGTATTTTGTAAAATCGTATTATATTAGTAAAAAAAGTAAAAAGTAAAGAAGTATTATTATATTAGTTATTTTAGCCTTTCTTACATTTATAAAAATTTTTCCATGCATTATAAACATTTTTACATGCATTATAAACATTTTAATGTTTTGATTAATATTACATAATTTTGCAATTATTTTTTTATTATTATTTTGGTCAATGTTGTTCTTCATTTGTTTTTTTTATTTCATCCACATTTTTTTAGTTCTATTAAAAGAAAATTAAAATATGTAGTCCATTTCTACAGATAAATTAGTATGACCTTTTACAAAAATAAAAAAATAATGCGTAGGAAAACAAATAAATAAATCTTTAAAGCTTAAAACTGAACAGGAAATTTAAAAATAATATTTATTTGGGAAAATCCATTAGCGCACTATTTTTTTCTTTAAAAATGTTGACGATAGTGCCCGTACGCATGCCACTGTTAAAGTTAAGTTCCCAAAACTTTAGCACCCTGTGATTTCGTAACGTAATATTTTTGGACTATAGTTTATAAAGCAAACTATTATTAATTTTTCATGTAGATACACCCTTAAATATTGGCATATCATTAAGGAACATCCTGTAAATTTTTTTAATATCATCGATACTAGATAAGTGTCCTTAAAATAGACATTTTTAAACATATTTAGCTTACACCACAATATTGCTATTTTTTTTGCTAATAATTTATAAAGACAATTTTTGAACAACTTGAACTTAAACTAAAAAAAGTACTTTTGGTTATGGGCGATGAAATAAATTGTTTTCTAAAAAAAAAGACTTGAAAAAATTTATGAAATTACACCAGCACTTTAAAATTATTAAAAATTATTTGAAGAGACGTCTGTTATGTGTCCGTATCATTGGAGGGGGCGGGGTAGGTAAAACATTACATCATGTTATTTTCATGTGTTCTATCTAAATTTGGAGATCGCCATCATATTCAAAAAAATTGTGAATATTCACAATGGATATAAATTCAGTATTAGACGTATTTGGAAAACTGAATAATGGGTTCATTTAAAACATGAAGTAAACAATAATTAACAATAGTCTATCTATACGAAGTGAGGGCAAACAGAATAAAAACTAAAACTCGACTCATAGGCGAGTTTTAACTTTGAAAGCGAAAACTTATTTTTTTAAAAGAAACTATTAACTTTTTGTGAACTAACAATGCCTAACTATTGAGAACGTTATATTCTAACACAAGAACAATATATCGAGTCTAAATTAATAATGAAAATATGTTTTTTAACTATTTATATGAAAAGAAACGTTATCTTGTTTACAATATTTGCAAGGTTGCAATAATTATATTTAGGTGATTAAGAGTAATATCTTGATATAATTCCTCCCTTCCTAAGAATTGGAAAATATGGAAGTATTTTTGGTTTCGGCTTTTTTTCAAAATTAATCTTCTATATTTGACTAGTAGTATAGTCTATTTAAAAACCAGGAGGAGTAATTCGAAAAGCCTTACTCACACCACTAAAAGTAACTAAATTAGTTACTAAAGAGCGTGTTCCGAAATAGTCGCGTTCAAAATCTCTAAAATAGTTGTCATTATCGGTCCGACTGGTCCTAGTCAGCGGACGGCTAATGAGAGGTCAAGACACGAATAAATATGTCTAGGAGTCAACTTTTTATTGGGCCCAGACAACGGTAGGAAATTTCTGTGATCTTGGGCAAAAACTAACTGTCAATAGTGTCAACTAATTGAAAATTGTAATTAAATATGGCTGTTGACTTTGTTGATGTTATAGGTTATCAGAAATATAAATATAAGTATTTTATATATTTTTGTTTGAAAATCGACTTTTTTGAGAATAACTTTAATCTTTTTGAAATGGATATTGAATATTTAAGAAAATTGTTAATAGAATATTCAGAAGCAGGTTAGT